TTCAAGATTAAGTACTACTCAACTGGTAGGTAAGGAGTTTCTATCATAGGACTATATAGTTATGCTGAATCAGGATAAGAGAGGAATGAGGAGAAAAAGCCATCTGTTAGTGAGTGAAGATGTGTCTGTTGGAGAGATAGCAATTTACGAAGCATAGCTTAGCTGTGTTATAAGGCTGGATGTATGGAGCTCCCAGCAAGGATATAATGAGATAAACTTGCTAACCATTACACAATGTCAAATTGCCCTAATAGCAATTTACTAAGCATAGCTTAGGTGTGGCTCAAGGCCAAAAAATGGAGCACCCAGTGAGGGTCAAGCTCATTATTCAATTGTAATTGGTCTAGTGAGAAAACAGCCAGAAGCCAATTACAAGCTGCCCATGGGAAGCAATATGGGGGGGGGGGGGCATCAGTTTTTGCTGGCCAAAGGAAAAATCTGGTCTGTTGTAGAGTAAAACAGAAGTACCTGGTGAATCTTTTATGTGCCATGCCCCTTCAGGACATGAACAATCATGGCTCTCCACAATTTCCTGTCCTTTGTAACCCTTAATAAATTTTGTCTTTTTTCTCTCTCTCTCTTCCCTGATTTGCCAACTATTTACACAAACTTGTTAGGTAGGTTATGTGCTGCTTTCCTTTGACCCTCTTGCCTTCAATCTGTCCTGTGAGGGTCACATTTTCTAAGCCTTCTTTCCTTATTATGTACCCTGGAAATTTTAACTACCTCTTTCAAATGTTAAATGTAAGTGTCCCTTTTGTTTCCATTTTCTCTAAAACTTTGTCATTGCTCACATGTTCAGTCAGTGGTATTCTTAGCATCCTTCTGTTGGACCACATTTCTTTTGCTTTGTTTGTTCTTCATCTCTAAGGAGATTATCCAGCATTTACTGCTATATAGGACTGATGTTACATAACATAAGCTACCTCCACCAATTCACTGAAGAAACAGTATGGCATGATGAAAAAAGGCCCCAAACTGGATAAAAACAGTTTTCATCAAAATGTTTATTATTAAGAGGAATGACCAAAGTATTTTTTATTATTTTATTACATTTTTTAATCTTTTCTAGCTACATTCAAAATTTTGTTTAAAAAATCTTTTTTTACTATCTCTCGTGTGTGTGTGTGTGTATCAGAGATTACTAGCAGTATTTTAGCAACTTTTTTCTGGTTTTAAAAAAAAAAAAAAAACATTGATTTGGAAATTCTTCCAAAAATCAAATAATTGTCAGATTTTAATGAAACTTTCAGGCTTGGTTTTAAAAAAAAAAAATCTTTTTTTCTTTTTTGTACATCTGTAACACACACACACACACACACACACACACACACACTTATTTTATTCAATTTCAAGAAATTGAATTTTGAGCACAGAATGTTTTTTTATTATCAGTTAAAAGCAGGACTCCTTGGAGAATGTAAATCTTTTTTTTATTATTATTATTATTTTAATTTTTTTTTTTTTTTTTAAACAGCTACACATTCCCCCAAAATCTGTTCCAAATTGTAAAATAAAAAATGCAATAAAACTATGACATTGCTTAATTAGGAAAACTTTTAATTGCTTTTATAAATAAGATATTAAGGACACTATTATCTTAAGAAAAAAATTTTTTATGAACAAAGTTTCAAATTTTTCAAATTTCTGCATTATTTTGATTTTGTTAGGTGATATATATTTTTATTTATTTATTTATATATATATATATATATATATATATATATATATATATATATATATATATATATATATATATGTGTGTGTGTGTGTGTGCATTTGAAAGTATGGACAACCAAACATGGCATCCTCAGAAAATAAGAGCAATGACTATAGTAAATTTCAACATTCCTAAAATTAGATTATGGAGAATATTTTACAACATTTTTAACATTACTGAGTCCTTAAAAATTATATAAAAAAAAAAAAATAAATAAAAAAGGTGCTCATGTTAGGTAGGTTATGTGCTGCTTTCCTTTGACCCTCTTGCCTTCAATCTGTCCTGTTCTTAAATTATGTTTTACAGATAAAGTCTCTATCAACAAACAATAAAACTGTTGCCTTTTTATCACTCATCAAAAATGTAGACATGGCTACTGTCAGTTAAAACACAGCTACTGTTTGGTTTAAAATGCATTTCTGTGTTATTTTAAACTTAAACTAAATAATATTTGTTTCAAATAAGATTACTTATACTTTAAATCAGCTAATATTCCCCAAATATACTTTCAGAAAAGTTTATTTTATTTTTGGAAGATTTTTTTAATAAAGAGAATCACATTGTGTGAAAGATGATGAAAAAAATGGTTCTAATCAGCTATTAGATTTAGCAAAAGGAAAATGAAAATAGAGTCCAATCAGTATAATTTCTGTTTGAAATACACCAGAGTATTTTGCCTACTGGAAATAGTAAATTTTATCCTTTTCAATTAAAACTAAAATGAAAGCTTCAAGAAAACTTATATTGTATTGTGTATTAATACCGACATAACATTCATTTGTTTATTTCTTTCAAAATTTTCCTGTTTCTTGATATTTTACTTAGCGTTTAGAAGGCATCTTTCACTATCCCAATGCACATTCAGATTTCAGTGTTGTGCTTTCTGTCCTCTTAAAATACTACCTAGGCATTTAAATATTTGTACTTATTTGATTTTGTTGTCTCCAATTTGTATGTTGGGCTCTTCTTTTTGCTGACATCCATACATTTTCTCTTCTTACAATTGATGTTTTTGTTCGGTTTTTCTCACTTTCATTCGCTACCTTCCCTGTATTTTCCTTTCTATGTTTGTTATCAACATTGTCATCCAAACATCTAATGTTGTTAAGATTGTGGCTGCCAATAATGGATCCTGGTAGGAATTCTAATTCTCTCAGAATCACCTCACTAAAAGCTGAATAAGGCTGATGGGAAAACACATCCTCATTTTTACACCCCCCCCTTTTTCTATTTTTGCCTATTTACTGAACTCTGTATAGGTTCTGGATTATTCTAATATCTTCTTCCCCAAAAGTGCCAAATATATTGAAAAGAGGATGAGAACTGGGCTTAACTTAATTTTTATTAACTCCAATGCAAATGAGAATCATTGTCTGAGGTGTGGGTAGGGTTAATTATCTAGACCGGAAAAAAACTGCATGATGAACATGGTTGTATGCTTTATACATTATTAAATAAGATTTTACCATTATAATGCACACCTATCTTGTAATCTAATAGTTTTCTTGTCACTATATAAACATTACTCTCTCAACATATACTTTATCAAGTTTCTTTTTTGTAAAGAAAAATCAATAACTATGTTTCTAAAGCAATGTTTTTCAACTTTTTTATCTCCTTGCACACTTAAACCTATAGTTAAACTTCCGTGGCGCTTAAATTATGATGATAAAAAAAAGTATACTTTTTATGATTTATTTGCTAACACAAACAAAATAATTTATTTTAATTTGTAATAAAAAGAAAATAATTAAAATTCTTTAAAAAAAAAACCAAAAAACTGATATTCATTGATTTTTCTGTTTATTATAATTAAACATTTAATGAGATCTCAGAGCTTGACTTTTTTTTATGTTAGACAGCGGTGCTTGCTTTCGACATTGTTTATTGCAGGAGAGCGGTGCTTGCTTTCGACATTGCTTATTGCAGGAGAGCGGTGCTTGCTTTCGACATTGCTTATTGCAGGAGGGCGGTGCTTGCTTTCGGCATTGTTTATTGCAGGAGGGCGGTGCTTGCTTTCGGCATTGTTTATTGCAGGAGGGCGGTGCTTGCTTTCGGCATTGTTTATTGCAGGAGGGCGGTGCTTGCTTTCGGCATTGTTTATTGCAGGAGGGCGGTGCTTGCTTTCGGCATTGTTTATTGCAGGAGAGCGGTGCTTGCTTCACACACCTATTGTGCTATTCAAAAATAATTCAATTAATAACCTTTTAAAAACTTTTGCAGCACATCTACAATCTTCTTACAAGCACACCAGTTGAAAATCACTGTTCTAAAGGAATAAGTTGTCTGCAAAATATGAATTGGTATTTGTTCTGTAGAAAAGCAGTGTAGCATACCTAATGAGCTTGTGTAAATGGCTGGCAGAACAAGGATTAAGAGAGCAAAAAAGAAAAAACTTACTTGGAGCTACAAATGACAGGAAGTTGTAGAGAGCCATTATCACCTAAATCCTGAAGGACATGGCACATAGGACAACCTAGATGAACAACTTGATTTATTGACTTTCACTGCAAAAACTCCTTTTTGTATTGGATTTTTTATATATTTTTTTTTAAATTAGATTTAACAGAATATTGTATTCTGAGTAATATGTACAAAAAGACAAGAGGAACCACATAATTCTTGTACAATTTACTGCATTTCCCACCATAGAACACACACCCGTCATTTGACAAGGGATTATTAGAAAAAGAAATGATATTCAACTAATGATTCATACATGCTGACAATGTGATGCTGAAAAACAAATGTTTGTTCTTTTGATCATATTTTAAGGAGTAAGTCAGGTTAAGGACTTTTCAGCAGCCCATTGTTTATCAGATGTACATTTGTTTTTCAAGTTAATGAATTGTCACCGACATATTGGGATTAGATATATTTTTACTATGACAAAATTAACTTATACTATATCTAAATAAGTGTTCTAAATCAGTATATTCTTTTTCAGAACTACTATATTTACTTTCTTTCTTTATTTTGTCAAAACCTACTGATAAAAAGCTTTTTACTACATTCAATCCAGGTATTTATTCAGGCCTTATCTAAAACATTTCTAAAATCATTTATCATTTTTCAGGAGTTGTTTGTTTTTAAGTTTGATATACTGGTCCTGACATTGGTAATTATTATATATTCTCAAAGATATTAAAGCATTTAGTAAGCCAGAAAGAATCCTGTCTTGATTGTGATAAGATTCACAAGTGTAAATCTTGTTATTTGGTCAGAGTTTTATTAGATTTCACTCTTTTATCGTTTGGTTTCCATTTGCAGAAATTGTGTAATGAAAAAATTTTCAATTTCCTGGAAGACTAAAAAAAAAACTTTTTTTTTTCTTTCTCTTTTTTTTTTTGTCTTTCTCTTTTCTTTTTTTTTGTCTTTCTCTCTTTTTTTTGTCTCTCTCTCTTTTTCTCTCTCTCTTTTTGTCTCTCTCTCTCTTTTTTGTCTTTCTCTCTCTCTCTTTTTTGTCTTTCTCTCTCTCTCTTTTTTGTCTTTCTCTCTCTCTCTTTTTTGTCTTTCTCTCTCTCTCTTTTTTTTCTCTTTCTCTCTCTCTTTTTTTTTTGTCTTTCTCTCTCTTTTGTCTCTTTTTTTTGTCTTTCTCTTTCTCTCTTTTTTTTTTTGTCTTTCTCTCTCTCTTTTTTTTTCTCTTTCTCTTTGTCTCTCTTTTTTTGTCTTTCTCTCTTTTTTTTTGTCTTTCTCTTTTTTTTGTCTTTTTCTCTCTCTTTTTTCTCTCTCTCTTTTTTTGTCTTTCTCTCTCTTTTGTTTTTTCTTTCTTTTTGTCTCTCTCTCTTTTTTGTCTTTCTCTCTCTCTCTTTTTTGTCTTTCTCTCTCTCTCTTTTTTGTCTTTCTCTCTCTCTCTTTTTTGTCTTTCTCTCTCTCTCTTTTTTGTCTTTCTCTCTCTCTCTTTTTTGTCTTTCTCTCTCTCTCTTTTTTGTCTTTCTCTCTCTCTCTTTTTTGTCTTTCTCTCTCTCTCTTTTTTGTCTTTCTCTCTTTTTTGTCTCTCTCTTTTTTGTCTTTCTTCTCTCTCTCTTTTCTCTCTCTTTTTTTTTTCTCTTCTCTCTCTCTTCTCTCTTTTTTTGTCTTTCTCTCTCTCTCTCTCTCTTTTTTGTCTTTCTCTCTCTCTCCCTCTGCAAAAGAATAAAATTAAGTTGACAGAAAAGATGGTAGCTGATTGTGCAACAAAAACACTACATTTTTTTTCCTATTATTACTTAAAAAAGCATGTTTACTTTTTGGCTCTCCAACTGTATTTTTCTCCTCCTATTAGTATATAGTTACCATTTCAATAGGACCAGACTTCCCTTGTCATAGTTTAATGATGTTTCAATCATGCAAAAATGTTCAAACTGAATTTTTTTTTTATCTAGTTCTTTTTGTAGAAATTTTGATTTTATAGTTACAGGTGATACAACTCCATTGCTGGACTCTTCCGCTATAAACGATGTGTCCAGTCATTTGGATGACAATAATCGGGAACCAACTTTACCAGTTTCTTATGGTGAAGGAACAAGCATGCTGGAAGCTTTCTTAGAAAAAGTACAATCTGATTCAGTTGAAAGCAGAAACCATGAAAATTCACCTCGCAAGATGATGAATGCAGTTGACAGTCTAGAAGTTTTCTCAGATCCAGAAAGTGGTAAGTATAATATGTCTATATAAAAACTCTTCAATATTTTATTTTTTTCATTTTGATGTCTTTTTATTTTTTTTTTTTAATTCCCAATAATATATATATATATATATATATATATATATATATATATATATATATATATATATAATCTGTCATAGATGAGATTTTTGTTGGTTTGAAAACCTAATCTTTTTTTTTTTTTTTTAATCACAGTGAATTATTGTTGTTAGAATAAACTTTTCAAATACAAAACTGTAGAGACATCATTATAGAAAGACACCTAAAAATGAAAAGACTTATACTTTGAGCCTTTGCCATGACTCTGCTTATATTAGGTGTATGTGGATGTGCAGTTGGCGTAATGGGTAGTGACTCTGAATGAGAAATCATAAGTTTGATTTGTTACATTTATGCCAATTTGGCTGCAAAGTGCATCGTCAATTGAGCAAAGTTGATTCTCCAGCAATCAAAACAACCTATCTGCTCAAATTCATATCCTAATGTAAACAAATCAGCTGCTAAGAAAGTCAGTTCACTACTGTCGGGTGAGACAATTTTTCTCTCCGTAATCTGTCTTGCATACCTATCAGACCACCATTCTTCCATACTTAGAATATTGCTACTTCTACTATTTACTTGCATCTCCTTGATAAGATCCCAAGAAGAATCAGCATTTTTATTGGTCCTGATCTGGCAACTTGGCTTCAGTCACTTTCCCACTGCCATAAGGTTGTCTCTCTATGCCTTTTTTTATAAATACTTTCTTGGTAATTGTTCAGGTGAGCTCTTCACTGGTACCTAGACTGTATGAATTTAAGCACAATACTAGAGTGGTGGTGAGATCTCATCAATTTATGGTTGAGCTAGCTAAATATAGATGTAACTTCTATGCTGACAGTTTATTTTCTCACACTTCTCGCTTGTGAAACTCTCTTCTGGCTCCATGCTTTCGTGCCAACTTTAATCTGCAAAAATTTAAATGCAATACCAATTGCTATCTACTGTCCTCCTGATTGCTTTATTCTTTTTCTACTTTTTTTTTTACTAATGTTTCTGTTCCTAATTCCTCCACACCCTGTAACGCCTTGTGTGCTAGTGGCTTTACTGCCTTGCTTGGGGTGATACTGATTTCATTAAAAAAAAAAAAAAAATTTTCTAAAGAAGTCATTGATGTTTTTATTTATTAATCTGACAGACTTTTATCATTTAAATGTTATTTTTATTGTATACTCACATTTGAGTAGATATTCTGTTCATTTATTAAACAGTATATTTATTTTCATTTACCGGCCTGAATATTCAAGAAATCTTATTAAAGAAAAATATGCACTCTCCAGCAGGTTTTGAACCTACACCCCCCTTAAAAGGAGAAATAAAATCTGTCAGCTTAATAAGTGAAAAATATGTTACTTTAGAAATTGCTTTGTTTATGTGAGTAGATATGAGTGCTTTGAGAGTTGGAGATAGATTTGTATTTATAAGGCACTATTCAAATTCACTTAATGCAAATACACTTGGGTAAGGTATAAATCCATCTCTTCTCACTCCCAACTATGGGTTAAATAGTACAACTTGTATTTGGAAAAATTATTTCAAAAAAAAAAAAAACTATAAAAGAATTACTCTTATCATCCAAAATGTTTTGGCTTTGAATAACCCACAAAAGGTGAAAAAAAAAAAAAAGAAAAAATCAATCACTTGTTTCTTGTTTGGGATTGGGTTTCCAGTTCCTTTTAAAGTCTACATCCACAATATGCTTCTAACATCTCCAACTCTGAAATGTCATCCATTGACCTTTTTCAAGTCTAGGGTTAGCTGTTATCTTTCCAGCATAGCCCCAAGAACTTCTTCCCTTTTCTTATACTAACCCTCTATATTGAGCGGCTCTTGGGCTTTGTATGGGGTGAGCATTAGTAAAAGAAAAGAAAAAAATTCAATCAATACATAGAAATATTAAATGTTGTCATGTAATTGGTTTTAGTCCTGCAAAAAATACAATACAACAAAGGAAAAAAACAAAAACAAATTTACTGTAATATAGTCACCCAAAACATTAATTATTGTTAATTTTCATGATCATATTCCATTCTGAATATATTTTGATAAATTCAAAGAACTAATGCCATCAAAATGTTTGAATAATAGAAAAAAAACATATTAGTCTTTTTCATGCTAAATTTTTTTTTTTTTTTTTTTTTTTTTTCCTTCTTAGTATCACTAATTCATGTCTCTGGATATTTTATGTTTTCAGATTTAGTGACGTACAGTGGTGACGAGTCTGAAATTGAAGATGATAATGATGTAAACTCATTAGGTTCAGTGCGACACATCCCTAAACTTGAGTTGCCATCAACTGTGACAATTCTTGACACGGAGCATGGCAGTAAGGTCTATATTGTAGGTACAGCTCACTTCAGTCTTGAGAGTCAAGAAGATGTGGCAAAGGTAAATATATATATATATGTGTGTGTGTGTGTGTGTGTGTAAATTGAACTTTGTTGCTTCAAATTTGATTTCTTCTACAATTTGTAGCATTGCAACTCAAATCGGACACCAGGTTCATTCTCTGGGTGCAGCTTCTTCCAATCTAATATTTGTTGCTTTTAAGAAAAGAAAAAAAAAAAGATAACTCTTTGGTCAGATGGAATAAAATTATGGGTCTATTTTAGCAATAGGCAAATTTTCATCAGTTGTAATCTTCTGTAGATGAGTGAGACAGCAGTAAGTGGAAGTGGTCTAATGGGTGTGTCTTCCTTTTATCATTGTGGCAAGCAGTCTCATCATTTTCCATACCTTTCTCTGGGAGTCTCTATTTTTGGCTGTTAGTGATCACTGTCTTATAGAGAACAGCATTCTTGTCATCTTTGTCTAAAAATGTCATTCATCAGGAACTCAAGATCTGGCTTCACTCTGTGACCTTCTTTGTCAGGATCATTTGACCTGTTTCTTTGTAGGTCCACTCCATTAAGCTGACCTTTGCCAAGTTAGGTAATTGTCAAAGCGATTTCTGTAATGCAATGCAGGTAGATCTTTACCAAGATATCAGCAGACAGCACTACAAACTTGTCTTCAGCTTGCTTTTTACACTCAGCATTTTTCAGTATTTCTTCTCTGCTGAGGATACCACAGACAGAACATGTGAATAACAAAGGAGTTTTAAGGAAATAGAAACAAAAAAGAACAGTTGAAATTTCTGAGACTTATAATGAGGAAAGAAAGCTTGGAGAATTTGATACTTACATGTTGTATTGAAAGCAAGAAGAGCAGAAGTAACATCAAGTAACCTACCTAATGAGCTGGTGTAAATGAATGTTAGAACACTGCCTGGGAAGGATAATAAAGAAAAAATAAATATTGCTATGAGCTACAAAGAATAGGAAGTTATGGAGAGCTTTGATTATCCATGTCATGAAGAGATACAGCACATAAGATATTAATAGAAAAAGAGAATGAATCATGTACTTTAAAAAATTTCTGTTTTCTTCCTTGTTGATGAAGTGGAGACTTGAGGCAACAGAGATCGGGAAGGAACAACTCAACACTGACAACTGAGCACCTGGACAACTCAGCACCAGAAAAACATAACTTTTTTTTATAGCTGAATAAAAGTAATTTATTAAGGATTAAAACCTTAATTGGTGAATATTTTTTTTTAATTAGTTTTAATAAAGTAAATCGTAAAGAAATTTTTATTTTATTTTTCAATAAAGTAAATTGACATAAAAAAATAATTAAATCAAACACACTTGATTTTTAATTATTTTTTGATTAAAGTAAATCAAAAAATGCAAAACAAAATGAAGCCGTTTTTTTTGTTTTTAATAAAGTAAATCGACATTCTAAAATATTTTTATAAAAACTAATAAAACAATTAAAAACAATTTTTTTAAAAACAAGTGTTTCATTGAATTATTTTTTATGTCAATTAAAAGGAAATTTCTTTATGATTTACTTTATAGAAAATAATTAAAAGCAACAAAACTGGCTAATATTTTATATAATCCATTTTCAAATGCCTTATTTGTAGAAAAATATTCACTAATTAAGGTTTTAATCCTTAATAAATTACTTTTATTCAGTTATAAAAAAAAAAGTTGTTTTTCTGGTGCTGAATTGTCTCAGTCCTGAGTTGTCCCGGCATTCCTTCAGCAGTGTTGAGTTGCCCTGCACCCACAGAGGTGTGGTTCTATAAAAGGATGCTAAGAATAACATAAACAGCGCATGTGAGCAAAGTGGAAGTTTGAAGGGAAATGGAAACAAAAAGGACACTTGTATTTAGAATCAGAAAGTGACAGTTGAAACTTCTGGGACACATAATGTAGAAAGAGCACTTGGAGAATTCAACACTCACATGAGCTATTAGAGGCAAGAGAGGCAGAGGATGACAGTAATTAACCTAACAAGGTTGTTAAAATGTATATCGGAACAGGAATTCGAGGGGACAGTATGGGGACAAATATTTAGAGCTCCAAGAAATATGAAGTTGTGGAGAGCCATGATTGCTCACATTCTGAAGGAGTATAAGCACATAGTTGAACTCTGCTGCTTGAGCAGAAGTAAAAGATTTTCCCAAAACCTAGCCACTCAGAAATCTTGCTGGTTCATTCATTTGGATAATATACACTATTACTCCATTTAAAAAAAATGATTGCAACCATATTGGAAAGAAAATCTTTGTCAGTATACATTGTGAGTCAGGTATGTCAGTCATCCAAAACAGCGAAACCAGAAGTGGGGGTGATAGTTGTAGCAATAATGATAATAATAAAAAATGGTAGTACAACCGTTTTTCTCAAGACAAGTGACATTTGTCAAAATATTGTTAAATTCTGTATCTTTTCCTTTTCTTTTCTTAAATCACCCTCTTCTTTAAGTGTTGCTCTACTCCCAGAAAGAAATGCCCATCAAACCTTTTGGATTCTCCAAACTAAACAAAAGAAGCTCAAATCAACATCAACATGATCCATGAATCTGCCTTGACATGAAAGTTACTAAAGCAACCCACTATTTTAATGAATCTTACTAAACACCAAAAAGCCAACACTGACCCAAAAATATAAAAAAAAAAAAATGGCTGCCAAATAATTTTTAGTGCTGAAGCAACAGCCATACATCTAGGCTTGGACCTAATAACTGAGAACAAGCCAACGCATATCATTATTTTCTCATATTCGCTATCCATACTGACTGCCATCAATAAGAAAAACATGAACAACCCACTAATCACCAAACTCTTGAATAGATTTAACACAATAACACATCTAACTGTGTTGGATCCCTAGCCATATTGGGATCCCTGGGAATAGCAGGGCTGATAAGACAGCCAAGGAAGAATTCCTTCTCAATGAAAATATCAAATTCAAAAATCCCCTTTACAGACTTGAATGTCACAATTAACTCTTACATCCTCAACCAATGGCAAAAAGCATGGCATACATACACATACATACACTATATCAAATAAAACTAATTCTGACTGTACATCACAGTACCAGAAACTCAAGAAAAGATGTCACACTTACAGAATAAAAATCGGACACACCCATATAACACACTCCTTCCTCCTAGGGTGGGGAAAAAAAAAATGCTGACCAACCAAAATGCCAAGTACTCTCTGTCAAACATTTCTTAACTAATTTCAAAAAGAACTGGCATCTGTACGAAAATATTTTTATAATGTACTTAACTTCAGGGTCCCTCTTTGAGAGTGTCGAAACCAAAGCCATTCAGAATTCTTAAAAGTAACAAAACTCTACCCCAAAATATAAAAAGGAAACTGAATAAACACCCAGCTACAAAATGTAACTAAAACCAAATTATGTCCCCACCCTTAGATAATAACTTATAAAAGAATTTGTCTGCAAAATAGACACAAAATAAAAACAAATGACCCATGGAGTTAGTGTGATGGTAAAGTAACAAATTTAAATCTTATTGAAAAATATTGGCAATTATGTCAATTATTTTGTTTACTATAATATTATTATTATTATTAAACAATTATTGTTTTCTTTGATTTCAAAAATTATCATTTCATTGGTGAACTTGGTTTCCTTTCATCTCAGAATTCTACAAAGACTTTTAATTCTTTTTGTAGATTTTTTTTAGATTTTTATAAAATTATTAAACATCACTTGAATACAGACATAACTTTGAACATTGTTAAACACTATCTTTTCTTTTCTTAAATCAAACTCTTAAGTATTGAAAAATATTGGAAGAGTTACCACAATCATTTTGTTTAAAAATAACAGTAATAATAGAAATAGTAGTAGTAATAATAATGCTAATAATAATGCTAACATATGTACCTCCACTTTTTCATGTGAAAACAGCATAGCATAAAGAAAAAGGACACAAACTTAATAAAAACAAAGTTTCATCGTCAAAATTTTTTTAAGAAGAAAGACCAAAGTATTTTTTTTTTCTCCAATCCTTTCTACTATGTTCAAAATTTTGGTTCAAAATCTCGTTTTCCTTACATTAGTGGTGAACGTAGCAATTACAATGACTTTTTTGCACTTTTTTTTTCCTGTGAAAACACATTGAATGGGAAATTCTTGCAAATATCAAATAATTGTCGGATTTTAATGAAACTTTCAGAAGTTATTCACAAATGAGATTATTTTTGAAATTTTTTGTTTTAGAAAAATTTGGTAATTTTTTTTTTTTTTATATATGTTACCCCCCACTTACTTAATTTCATGAAATTTCACGAAATTCCTTTTTATTTCCATGAATCAAGTTTTTTTTGTTTTTTGTTTTTTTCTCCAAACTTTTACTATTCTAACTGAATATCTGCTCTGAATAGTAAACTAAAAAATGTAATCAAATGCTTTTGTAAATAAGTTATATTAAGGACAAGATTGTCTGAAGAAATTTTTTTTTTAATTACAATAATTTATAATAGTTTAAAAATCGTTTAAAATCCTGTATTACTTTATGTCCTGGATGTGATATTGTAATTAAGTGGGAACAAATCCAAAATTGAAAAAATTAATAAATGTTGCTTTACTATTCTATTTTTAAAATAATTTTATTTTTTTACTTTAATTAATTAAAGTTTATTGAGTATTAATGATTAAACAATATTTTAATTATAAAAAAAATTCCAGATCAATGTGTTAATTTTCTTGCTTACTTATCTTTTATTTTAATTTCATCTGTTATTAAATTTTAAAATGAAGAAAATTTTATAGTACTTTAAATTTTTTATTTTTTCATAAAGCATCTTCAAATTAAATTGACTAAATTCAATAAATATAATTGCTGAAAATATGTTAATTTGTAAAAATTACTAGGTAGTTAAAAAAACGAAAACAAATGCATTCACTTAGATTTCATAAATTTATGTCACTTCTGGGTCATCCATACAAGCTGTTATTACCTTGGAACATTATTGATACATCAATAAAGACCAAACAAAAACAGGATTCGTCATTAAGAAATGCTTGTATATTATTTTTTTTATGCTATAAGTAATGTTTATTTCAAATCAGACTAATTTAACTTTAATTTGCTAATTTTACTCAAATAATGTCAATATGTGTGAAAAGTGTGTGTATATAAATAATATATATATATATATATATATATATATATATATATATATATATATATATATATATATTATATAAAAATTTTGAAAAATAATTTGTTCCTGTTTAATGATTTTATGTTTAGGCAACTGGAGCTGGACACAACTGCAGTATATTATTAGTATTATTATTTTTTATGGTTGACAATTGACAAAGATTATTGTTTAAGGTTGACGCTTTTGTCGCATGTCTTAATTAGTTTTGTTTTTTTTTGTCTTTTGTTTTTTTTTTTATGAATTGGTCAAACCCAAACAAAAACATTGTTTTCAATCGTTATGAGTCTATCGATTGAATAGAATTTTATTATAAACAATTGTCTTGTAAATGGAATTTTTAAAGCATTCTGAATGTAAAAATAAAGAAAAAAGTGTGCAAGAAACACTACCTGCTAAAAAAAGTGAAGTTTTGTTGAAATCGGTTGAAAACTGTAGGAAATCCGATCCCATATATAAATGAACACACACACACACACACACACACACACAAAACAAACAACCTGGGTTTTATAATAACTTGATATGAGTTGTCCCCTTTCATTCTGGTGACAGAATCGTGTTTTATCATTTTCAAATTGATTTCGTGCAAAAACGATTTTGTTTTTCCAATTTTTGGCAGGGTAATTTTACGCAGTCCTGTGAAGTTTTGTTGAAATTGGTTGAAAAATGTAGGAAATCCAATCCAATATATAAACGAACAGACACACACATACACACACACACAATCTGCGTTTTATAATAAGTAAGATGTGTGCTTGCATGTATATTTTAATTCAGTGACACATCTAAAAAAAAAAAATTCCTAATTCTTAAAATATTTTTAAATAATTCTCAAAAAGTTTAATGAAATTGTAATTTTTTTTTTTTTTTTTTTTTTAAATTAATTATGTCATTTCTTTCTAATTCCACTTGTTCTATTTTTTACTAGAATTCACTTTTTGTGGACATTTACCTTGTGGCCACCGCTATACTCTCAGGTTCTAGGTACCCGTAGACTGACATGTGTAGATTGATATCAATTAATAGAAATGGATTTAAATAATTATCGATAAGATACTAAAACCCTCTCACTGTAGGTAAGAGAAAGAAAAGCTGATTATTTTTTGAATCTCCTTTCACAGCCATGCACACATCTAAGCAAAGAGACTTTGACGGACATTAAGTGTTCCTTTTTCTCTAACAGTATGATTTTATTGCTCAGCATGGGTTTGGAACTCTTCAGACTGAATGGGAGTAAAATGTATTATTGACATGTCTTATGCCATACTCAGTCAAATCATGTGTTTGTGTGTATATTAAATGGCACAAACATACTGTAAATCATTCGTGCATGACACAAACACATGCATTACATACGTGCAATGCAAATTTTAAAATATCAATTACCATTAAATACTAACATCATTTCTTTAGGTAATGACTTTCTTGGTTTATAATGCAGAGGGTAATCCAGTCAGTTAAGCGCCATACATGATACACATTTCAGTAATCATGACATTTTTGATTCATGACTAGGCAGAAGATTTTCCTGCAGTAGCCTGCCATTTCTTTCTGCAGTATGCTGGTTGCCAATCAAGGCTATAGAACCTAGTCTATTTGACCCATAGTTGGTGGGAGAAGAAACACAAGTAATTAGACTAATGAAATCTGAAGACAGATTTGACAGTAATTGTTTTAACTTGTTGGGGGTGGTTAAAGAAAAACACTTTTTCTGCCGGTGATAGAATGCACACTTAATACAACTGAAGAATTTCAATCACTGCATTTTCATAGGCCAACACATCTCCATGAGTGGCTCAAGCTTGCTGAATGATGGGTGATTTTTATTAAGTCACCATCTTTTAGAATGGTTGCCAAATTGTCTGTCTGGCTATTTAACCCATAGGTACAGGGGGAGAAGAGATGGATTCATACTTTTCTCAAGGGTATTTACACATAATTGAATGTAATAAACTCGACTGGAATTTGAACTTAGTCCTATAATTTCTCATCCAGAGCCACAATCCCTTACACCACCTGCACATTCTTGTATTTAAATTTTTAATTTTCATCAACATGCTAGTTGCTAAAAAGATATTTCTCTGTATTAGATTCAGTTTTTAGTTATTTTTTTTTTTTTTTTTTTTTTTAATTTGCAGACTATCCAGGGTGTGAAGCCCAATATTGTAATGGTTGAGCTGTGCAACAGTCGTGTCAATATCCTGCAACTTGATGAGGAGACTCTGTTAGAGGAAGCCAAAAATATCAACTTGGAAAAAATCAAACTCTCAATTAAGCAGGTAAATATTTACTTTTTATCCTTTTTTTTTTTTTTCACATTATAAATGGATTTTTGTTTATGCGGGGAAGAATTTCCTTTGCCCCATTTAATATCAGCCTCTAGCGTTATTTTCAAAGTCTAATCTTATTCTCAGGGCAGAATGAAACATAAAATATGACAAGAACAAGGCAGCTCTTTCAAGGACACTAGAACAATAAATGCAGACCGATGCAGAAGGATATATGCTTATCTTTCACTGCCTCTGCAAAAGAACATAGATCTATTTGAACTATGAGGAAAACTTTATCTGATTAGGAAGAATGTTAGAATAATCCTGAACTTATACTGTGGGCAAATTCCCTGCATACAGACAAAAAATGAATTGTGTAGAGTTACATGAACAGAAAGGAAATGACACAGACTCCTAGAGAAGTTAATGAAGGAAAGCAAAAAGAAAGGACAAAAACCTCAACAGTATGAAGACAGAATGCAGAGGTTTTAACAAAAGGAACAGGCCAACATGCAAATGACAAATTGGAAACACCAAAATCAACCAAATACAAAAATTTAAATGTCTGGGAAGTGTTTTAACAGAGGACAGAAAGTGTGGCATTAAAATCTGAAGGTGCATTGGGATAGAGAAATGAAAGCTAAGCAAAGTATTAAGAAACAAAGAAAATATCATTCAAAACAAAGTAAAGAGAACTGAAGTGTTATATAATATTAGTCCTCCTATATAACAATGAATGCTGGACAATCCCTTCACTGGAGACAAGAGAAATGTGGTTCTACAGAAGGATACTGAAAATTCTTAAGCAATAATGAAATTTTGAGAAAAATTGAAACAAAAAGGCTACTTATACTGAGAATCGGAAAAAGACTGCTGAAATTTCTTAGACGTATAGGAAAGTGGGCTTGGAGAATTTAACACTCAGAGGATCTATAAAAAGAAAAAGTGGAGGGTCGTTCTCACCCACGTCCTGAAGAGACATGGCACTTAGAACTCTAATTTAAGAAACGAGCAGTCTTTCCTTGTATAAGACAAGGATGGCCAGTGATAAGACAACCAGATTTAATGGGAGCCTCGACCATGTTGTTTTTCTAGCATATTAGTTTTTGAAAATTTCAATATTTCTTCAATTGGCTTACAGCTGTATCACATTGAAACACCCATATAATCACCAAAGTTAAACAATGTTGAGCCTGGTCAGTACCTAGATGGGTGACCGTTTGGGAATATTTGGTGCTGTAAGCTTGGATGGTATAATGGATAATGGCTCAGAATTGTTAATCAGAAAGCCAAGTTCCAATTCCAGTTGGATTTGTTATAGTCACTTATGCACAAATACCTTTGGGAAACGGTATGAATCTAGCTCTTCTCCCACCAGCTATGGATTAATTAATAAAACTTCTATCACTAAATCATTATCTCACCACCAAAAAAAATTCTTGCAGTCCATTATCGATTTATTTACATTCTCCGCAATATAAATGTATTGAAACCTCTGTGAACACAAAGTGAGGGATCAGTTTATATATCAATTGTGATATAGAATTGATCCCCCACTTTATATCTACATTATAATTACTTGTTTGTTTATAAAATTCGGATTAGGTATAAACGCATCTCTTAACCCCACATCTGTGGGTTAATTAGTAAAACCTGTATCGCTAAATCATTATTATCTCAAAAAAAAAAAAAAATTCTTACAATCTAAAAAATATTTTCTGACTTTAAATAACCTGCAGAGCTGTAGAGAATGGATCCATCAACATTTCTTTAAGATTTTAGTGAGGGGTTTTGATTAATGAGGTGAGTATATTGCATGCAAAATTAGATCCTTATTTTTGTGCCTGTGAATTTAACTGAATCCAATCTTTCTTTCTTTGTTAAATCATATATGTCCAGCTGAAGCCAGAAATCAGTTGTGACCTTACCCCAAAAATAAAGATTTAAAAAATAAAAATCATATTTTGTTTGTATTAGTAGCACAAACAACTGCCCTATCGAGACACAAACATTGACTTCTCAACAATGTTTATTATGTCTTCAAATATATACGGTAAAATCTCAAATTAAAAGTCCTGGAACCAACGGACTCCAGATTTAACTTTAAAACTTTTCAAACTTTATTTAAAGATATATTGTAACTTAAAAATAAAATAAACATGCATATATACTGTATTTACATTTATTTACAATAATTTTGTACTGTACTGGGTGTTTGAGTCCACAAAAAAGTGGTTCAACTTAACGCACAATCTCCCTATTAATCTGTTAAATTGAGGTTATGGGTGTGTTTCCAACCAACTTAGTTTTCACACTGATTAACTTTGTAGGAAAGTGAATTTTTGGTGTTATTGGTCCATGGAGGTGTTCCCAGCATGAAGCACTTGAAAAGTTCCTGAAAACTATAACACGGATAGATGCAAGCCTTGAGAAATAAATTGGATAGATGAAAATGATCAGAAGTGGTTGATAGTTGTGCTAGCACAAAGTCATAAATCCTAACCATGGACTTGAGTATGCCAGCCTTTATTGAAATGGATCACACCAGATCAGTCCCAGAAACTGCAACTAAAGTCGACTCAGCATAGTTGCAGTATAAACCACAGGTGGGCTCTGTGGGTTTTGAATAAACACTATTTTATCTGAACAGGCATCTGCAACACAACAGGGATTGTCTAACTGCCATAGCAGACAAGTGTGCTCATAAAACTAATCCAACATTTTTATTATTTCAAATGTTATGTTTAGTGGATACCTGTATTGGAAATAGATGCCCTGTTTTTATTTTAAGCAGTGTATTATTTGGCCTGTATGCAACACTGAGAAAATGAGCCCTGAAGCACAGCTCTTTATAAATGTCAAACACACTGTTTAAAATAAAAACTGGGCTTCTATTTCAAATAATAAACATGTATGTATTGCTTCCACAATATAAATCCAACAAAAGTTTTTATACTTTTTAAAAAAAAATTTTTTTTAAATCTATGTCCTTGATGTTCACCTATAAAAATCTCAATTGGCCAGAGCTGCAGACAGTAGGCAGATCAAACAAAGAATTAACTGATTTAATTTTTTAATAACATTTTTTTTTTTCTGTGTTCTTTTCAGAGTGGAGTCGTTCAAGGTTGCTTACATTTGCTGCTGTTAAGTTTATCAGCGCATTTAACTAAAGAACTTGGAATGGCACCAGGTGGAGAATTCAGACGAGCCTTTAAAGAGGTTTTATAATCTTTTATAATCTCTATCCTAACAACCCAGAAATAGTTTTCAATGTTTTGCATGTTCTAGATTACTTTCATATTACCCAGCAACCAGTCCTTTTTTTTTTTTTTTTTTTTTTTTTTTTTTTTATTTATTACGAGGCAAGTTAGACTAGGTTTGTTTGACCTAACTATTAAATACAACCTTATTGAAAATTTGCCACTTTGACATTTCACCAACAAGATAGAGATATATATATATATATATATATATATATATATATATATATATATATATATATAATGTGTGTGCGTTTTCAAGGCACTGAAATGTTGGTTTGTAGCATTCATATTGTAAACTAATTAGCATTTAGTGCTGTTTGCAAACCAGTGTAGAAATATAGTAGCATAAAATATTTCCTGTTAGGAAAGTCATTAGGCTTGGCCTCTACTGCACAGTTTGCGATCAAAACCAGAATGATGACATCCATGAGAAATTGCTGCCAGTGTCTTTATTGTCCTTTCTTTCTGATTTTTTTTATTTTTTCCAAAATGGGCCAGCACAGCCAGGCAACAATGTTATACAGAGTTAATAGATTTGTTTTTTTTTGGGGGGGGGGGTCTCTGGATTCAATGATTAGTATACAAGTTAACAAAGCAACCTTCTCAATCTAAATAATTTTGTCTTTGCAGAAATATATCAATAAATTTCATAAATTTTACATCCAGCTAAATTTTTCCACATTTATTTTCATGTCGGTGATTTGATTATTATACTTGCTAACTATAAACTTTATAAAATAGTAACCAATGTTGATTAACTTGTTTAAGCAGATGCATACTGTATGTTCATCATACTATCTATATAAAAATTAAAGTGTATATTTGCTTTAATCACTTTTAAATTATTATTATTCCTGTAAATATTTCTGCATATTGGGCTCTTTATTTTGCAACTGCAAAAAAAAAAATTACTCTATCAGATGGAGTGATAAATGGAATTTCTTTTCTCTTATAGACATTGAATATTCCTGGGTGTGACTTTCATCTTGGTGATCGACCAATTCAAGTGACACTTAGAAGAGCCCTACAGTCGCTGTCTTGGTGGCAGAAATTACGTCTGGCCTGGTTTTTGATCACAGCCAAAGAACCAATCACGTAACTGTTTAAATTTTCTCTTTTCCAACTTTTTTTTTCTTCTTTTTAATATTAGAATGTTAAAATATTTAAGCTTTTTAAATTACTGGGTTATTACAAAACTTATTAAAAAAAAAAAAAAAAAATTCATGTTGTATTCATTTTATTTCTGTAATCTTCTTACTTAAATTTCCTAAACATTAGGCTGTCAATAAATGTGTCGACACCTCAAAAACCTCTGTGTTAAAAAATGCTTGCTTTTCTGTGATTTTAAACTAAAACTAAGTAATATTTGTTTGAAATCAGGTTATTTTATTTTTTATCATAGATTTGGTACTTTAAGATCAATACTGCACAATATATAAAATTTTTTGAACAATAGAACGTGATCTTAAATATCAAATATATAGGAAAGTATGAACATACATAGACTGTAGTTGATTTGTGTGGACAAATTTCAAATGTGGAGAAGACCAAGTGATATTTGAATTATATAATCATAGATAATGTATATACTCAACTTCATGGATAGTGTAAACCCTGAATTTTTTTGTGAAAAACCTGATTTATTTCATATAACTCGTGTATAATGTGAGCCAAGTTTCTGAGCAATACTAGTAGCCCTACTGTAGTCAAATGTTGTACTGGGCATCATCTATGAACATATTTTATAGCAAATAAATGGTCTTCATTCTTTTTTTTTTTTTTTGTACAACGTTACCCTATAAAATATCTGATATGAAGATTTACAGCCTGTCTGAAGTTAATATGCAAATCAAATAAAACTCAGTTTTGAACTAATATTTGTTGAATTTAAACTTGTCCATTTTCACCCTTAGTAAAATATTTACTTAAATTCTCTACCATTTTCAACCCTTTGAGCCTTGTTCCTGAACAATTTTAACCCTTCTGCCTGAGCTCCTGAGTCAAAATTCGCAAATAACTGGTATGTTATGCTTCACGGTAGATATAAAAATTGTTACAAGTGTTCACCAACCATTCAACCAGTGGCTGGGCATTATATCATTTTTCTCTACCACCAGTAAAGCGTTAGTCAGTGTTCAAAGGTTTAATGGTCAATTTTTTAGATATTTGGAATTTATAAAAATGGACTGACTGAAGTCATTATGCAAATTAAACTAATATTAGCTTAAGACTTCTGAAATCTAATAAAAACTTTTTTTTCTTTTTGTCCATAAAATATGCTAAAACATGGGTGAAAGGAAGGATCTAACCACTGCTGAAAAATGAAATAACAAAGTTATTGAGTGAGGGGAATGTCTACATTGGAGATATCAAAGGAGTTTTGCAGAGATCATCGAATGATAAAGAAATCTGTTGAAAATATAAGTAAGTTGAGAACTCGAAGCAAAGGAAAAGGCTTTAAGAACTTAATTCCTCAAGGTGAACATAAACTAAAGTGAGTTATAGTGAAATGAGCACTTTTGACCAGCACTCAGATCTTTGAAAAGGTTGGAATTGAGGGAGTCAAGAAGAACAAAAGGTGTAGAACACTTTGTGAATTGGGATCAGTAAAAAAAAAAAAAATCTCTTAGGCATCCTCCTCTCACTAAAGCAAATATTTTAAAGCATCAAAATTGGGCCAAGAAAAATATGAAAATTCACTTTTCTAAAGTAATTTTCATGGACAAACCTCAAGTGACATTTGATGGACTGGATTAATAGGCCAAAGGGTAGATTTTATCCAATTCCGACATGCCTGTGGCTAAAAGAAGGCAACAAGGAGGTGGTAGTGTATATTGGCTGGAATTGTCAGCCAAACCATTATTAACCATTCAAAGTCAATGAAGGAGTTAAAATGAAAAGTGCTAACTATTGCAAGTTTTATGAACAAGACTTTCTATTTTAAGACATTTTTATGTTTATACATTCTTTTTATAGATACAAATGTTTAAGTAAATGCTCTGTTTATAATAAACAGTATTAACAACATTTACCGGCCTGAATGTCCAAGAAATTGTCATAGAAAATATGCGTCCTCCGACAGGAATCAAACCTGTATCCTATACGGAAATGTCATATAGCCTGACATGCCTTAACCGATTTCACCACAGAGGAGCATTTTGGTTAGCAAGGTCGCTTTTATTGTTTTTGCTAACTGAAACACTCCTCTGTGGCAAAATCGGTAAAAGCATGTCAGGCTATATGATGGTTCTGTATAAGTTACAGGTTCAATTACTGTCGGATGATGCATATTTTCTGTGAAAATTTCTTGGATATTCAAGCTGGTAAATGTTGTTAATATTGTTTATCATAAACACAGCATTTACTTAAATATTTGTATCTATAAAAAAGAATGTATAAACATAAAAAATGTCTTAAAAGAATTGTCGGACTTTGTCCATTTCATAATGTAAGACTTTCTATGCATGGTACAAGTCCCATTTTCGCAGTTTCAATGTGAAGTGTGTATTTGTGCATGACAATGTTCTTTCTCATGTATCTAAGCTTACCTAGGAAATCTTTGAGCATAAAAGATTTACAGGAGAGAAGAAAATGGAATGGTCACTATCAAGTTCTGATCTGAATACAATAAAAAATCTATGGTCAATGGTGAAGATGAAATTATATGAAGGTGGCAAACAATATAACACCAAAGTAGACCGATGGGAAGAGCAATTAGAACGACCATATCAGAAATTGAACCTGCTGAAGTTAAAAAAAAAAAGAAAAGTTTTTTAAATCAATAGATAATAGATTACTGTCTGTTATTAAGAAGGGTCACAATATTAAAATGTAAAGGATTCAAAGACTTGTATGTGTTATTTGTTCTATTATAAGTGTTGTTCAATTTTTGATGATTTTATTAGCTTTTTATTGAAGTAAAATGTGATTATTTGGTTTTGCCTAATAACTTCAGGCAGCAGGTTTTTTTTTTTTTTTTTTTTTTTTAGAATACATCAAATAACTTCAATCAAACTTATTGATACTAACTAAAATTTTAACTTGGACTTTGTTTTGACATCTAAATTGATTGTTTAAAATTTTTTTTTTTTTTTTTTTTTTTAAACCAAACTTAAATTTAAGTTTATATGATTTGCTTAATAACTTCAGACAAGGGTTAGATACAACAGAAAGGAGGAATCTAGGCTACAAGAGACAGTCTGTAACATTAAGGTTAGCCAAATTTAGGCCTACCAGGTAGGTTTGAGACACCGAAAATGCATGAACCCCTCCAGAAAAAAAAAAAAAAAACTTAAAAAATAAGTTTAAACCAATTCATACAATGAATGCAATCTGATTTTATGCTAACCAAAAGAAAATTTTCTTTGTTCCTTTTCTTCTTTATACATAACTTAGTGGCAGTTCATACCCAGATTCTGCATGTTTCATTCAATATGTGCTGCAGAGGAAGTGTGTGGGTCACTTCCTGGCAAGTAGAGGTCCACCTTAAGCAAATTCACGTTAGCGGTACTGTCTTCTACTCTGATTTTCTTTCAACTCCAACCATCTCTTGCAAAGCCAAATGGCGATAGGGAATGAATCAATGGAGCCAGTTTTGGTGACAATGAAAGCTTCTAATCCTGAACCTGCATGTTGGCAGCAAATTTAGTCATCAATATCAATGATATTATCATAAAGGAAGCAATCAGCAAAGAAGAAATTAAATTCTTGGGTACAAGATAAAGCTGACAAGATAAATCACAGCGTGTCTTATTTTGAAAATTAAAGTTGTATCCTTGTATGATTCATATGTCCTGGTTGTTCAGAATTCCTACATAAGATTGAATAAAAAAATCTTTTTTGAATAGGAACAAATATTTTTTGTAATTCTTATAATCATGTGGAAGCTATGCCAGAATGCTAGTTGGGAAATGATTGCTCTTGGCTGGTCCCTGGGAAGAAAAGGTCTGATGTCATGGAAGCCAGAAACTTTGTATGACCACAAAATAGGCATCACCAAGGAAGCATTTTTTGGTGCAATGTCTGTGTATAAAACAAATAGAGAAGTGCAGTTAACTTTAAACACTCAAAAATACTGCAAAAAGAATTTTTCTCAATATTTTTACTTTTTTCTTTTCTTTTTTTTTCTTTTCTTGTTTCTTTTCTTTTCTTTTTTTTCTCTTTCTTTTTTTTCTCTTTCTTTTTTTTCTCTTTCGTTTTTTTCTCTTTCGTTTTTTTCGTTTTTTTCGTTTTTTCTTTCTTATGGTATTTTAAGACTTGCACTGCACAATGGGTTACTGGTCTTTCATGACAAAACTTTTTCCTTCTCTAGAGATGATTTTTTTTTTTTTACTTATTCTATTTCTTAAACTCTCTTTATATATTTCAGGAAGGAAGATGTTGAAAAGTGTAAACAAAAGGATTTACTGGAACAGATGTTAAAAGAGATGACTGGTGAATTCCCTGCATTGAGTCGTGTATTTGTTGAAGAGAGAGACATTTATTTGGCTCACTCACTCAAGAATCTTTCTAAGCCAGTGCCTTTGAATGAGGATCCTGAAAGTAAGAACATTTTTTCTTAACTAACATTTATTTATAGTTTTATTTTACTTTTTTTTTTTTTTCATTTTCTTTGTCTACCTACTGAAAAATAATTAAGCACAATTAAGGTCTCGAAGTCTATATAAAGCGAATTTTAGACCAGGTAGATTAATAAAACTGGTATGAAAATGAAATAAATTTCTCTTCAAATTTACATGTTTTTTTTTTTTGTTTTTTTTTTTTATATATACATGTACCATTTCACCCCAAGCAAAGACACAAGAAGTTACTAAGTGTTAGAGAATGTAACTTAAAACATCATTTAGTGCTACACATATTTTCAAATATTCCATTCACTTTTCTATTCTTTCCATGAAGAAAGGTTCTACTTTCTATTCAATCAGATGAAAAATGGGCAATGCTTAATCTTCATGACTGAAAAAAAAAAATGATGTGTCAAAAGGGCAGTTATTCCCTTGACACCATTACTACTGTATACACTTGACTTCCTGTTTTAAAAAGCAATGATTAGAGTTTTAATAAAATCCAAACATGAAAGTGAATATTGCATTGTACTTGGTTCTCATGTTTTCATAATCTTGTAAATAAAGCTTGCCAAGGGAGTCAAGTGTATACAGTAATAGTGGTATCAAGGGAATAACAATCCTTTTGACACACCATTAAACATTGCCAAAAAATGTTTGTTCAACATCCCATTCAATTTTGGGAATAACCAAATGTCTGAGCTATATGTTGTCATGATGGAAGGGAAGGTACAACCATGAATCTCAGGCTTCTTCCTGTTTACACCATTTGAATGCAATGTTTTTTGGGTTTTTTTTTTTGGTTTTTTTTTTAAAAAAAAAAAAACTTTCATACCTCTTTAAATTCCAGCTGATATGCAGAACTTTCTGTACCCCCTCCCTCAATTTCTATAACTGCTTTTCTCGTGAGTAATGAACACCATTACTTGGTGCCATCACACAACAAACTGACACAAATCAAGTTTAAACTGAACTTTGCTACCAAATGAATGTTATAACATGCTTCATGTATAAAAGCTTACTCTTATCACTTGGTGTTTTTCTTTGTTTCATTTTCCTTTCCTCAGTTAAACACTTCTAATTAACAATATTGGCACACGCGACAACATGGCAATGTATTTCTAATAATTTTAACTATTTTTTTTTTTATTAAACATTGCTTATTTTTTGTGTTTTGTAGAAATTTTGTGCCCTATTGTTGTGGGTGTTGTCGGCATTGGCCATATTCCTGGCATTGTCAATAATTGGGATAAAGACTGCGATATCAAAGAAATAATGAAGTAAGTATATGTGTTTTTTTTTTTTTTTTTTTTTTTTTTTTTTTTTTTGTGGGGGCGCAATTTTATTTTTCACAACACTGTTTGCTTTACGTATGGAAATGGTTTGAGTTATTTAAACCCCTTGACACTTGAGGCACTCTTGGGCTTTGTATTGAAGAGTGGGGACAATTTTGTTTTAAGAAAAATGAAAAAAGACAAGCAATCAAAAATAAGACATTATGGAAAAACACTGCAAATTGATTTTTTTTTTTTTTTTTTTTTTTTTTTTTTTCACCATCACTTGAAATGTATTCAGTTTCAAATTAGATCTTTGTCGTTCAGTTTAATCAGACACCCTTAACTCTGATGGTTTTGGTAATGTACTTTTTTTTCTTTTTTCTTTTTTTTTTCATGTTGCCAGCATGAAATGAAAATCTTAAGAATATTTATCTTGTCATTCATAATCTGTCTTTTAAAAGGATGAAAAACAGCTCTAAACGTGATGAAAACAGTTTTATCAAAATTTTTGTCATTAAGGTGGATGTATTTTTGAATATTTAATTAAATTTTTTAATCCTTTTTCAGGACATGCAAAAAATTTTATTCAAAATCTTTGTTTTTCTTGCATCATCAGGTGTACTATACATTAGCATAGCAAATTTTAGCATCTTTTTTGTGGTAAAAGATGCATTAATTTAGAAATTCTTGCAAAAATCAAATAATAAATATTATTAAGAGGAAAAGCCAAAGTATTTTTTTATTATTTTATTATTTTATTAAATTTTTTTAATCCTTTCTAGCACATTCTAAATCTTTCTGCAATATTTTAAACGTAAAGTAAATAAAGTGTTTTAAATCGGCTAATATTCATCAAATAAATTTTTGGAAAACTATTTTATTTTTGAAGATTTTTTAATAGATTTACATTTTTTTATAACAATTTGCTAAAAATGGCATGATATCTAAAAAATTTTAGAAATTTCAAAATGTATTTTTGTGTGAGTGAGAGGAGTAAACATGCCAATTTTGGTAAATACAGATGTCCACACACAGCATTATCAAAAAAATAAGAACAGTAACTATAATAAGCATTTTTGTAACTTGGACTATAGCACCAAAGTACCTACGATTCAATAAAATATTAGAATGCTTAAAATATTTTACATATTTAAGATTACTGGATGGTTAAAAACTTGTATAAGAAAAGTTATTTACGTTGTATTCATCATTTAATTTTATTTCCGTTATCTCTCCTTTACATAAATTTCTTAAACATTAAGCTGTCAATAAATTTGTCAACACCTTATAAAAACACTCACCTCTGTGGTAAAAAAAAATATATATTATTTGTTTGAATTCATATTAATTAAACTTGATATCAACTAATTTTTCTTGAATAATATTTCAGAAAAGTAATTTATTTTTGAAAGATTTTTGTTAATGAAGAGAAATATTTTGTGTTGACAGATTTGTTAATATGAACGATTTTATAGATTTTAATGATAATGATAAAAAATGATTCCAATTTAAATTCAATTTGAAATACAGCAAAGTATTTTGTTTAATGGAAATATCAAATTTAATTTATTAAAGCTTGGAATTAAAAAAAACTTCAAGAAAGATTTTTTTTTTTTTCCTTTTTTAAAATGTATTTTAAACCTTGAATATTGTGCTTTTTTTTTTTTTTTTTTTTTTTTTTTTTTAAACCTATATAGAATATATAGTATATATACTTGTGTATCATGCGACTTTTGAGGACCTAATTTTGAAGCCAATTATACATGGGCTGCATCATACACAAGACAAAATTAGTATATGTACTGCTGGCCATGGGTATGTTGTTGACCAAACTATATATATATATATATATATATATATATATATATATATATATATATATATATATATATATATTTACTGTAGTCAAATTAGCTTCAAAATTAGGTCTTCAAACGTCGCATGATACTTGAGTATATATGGTATATGGGTTGGTGGGGGTGCTTTATACATGAGCCAATGTGTATGCGTGTGTGCATTTTTTTTTTTTTTTTTTTTTTTTTTTTATCTCTATCTCTCTCTGTCTAGGTTGCTTGATTGATTTTAGTACCTATATATAATTTTTCTTTTTTGTTTAGATGTATGCTAAAAAAAAATTGAATCAATAAATAAACCTAAGCAGTTTAATAAACTGAATAAAACGTTAAATGTGAATTATTTTTAATTTTCCTTATTTTTTTTTTTTTTTTTTTACCTTTTAGATGTCCGCCACCATCTGTGATTGGTCGCTTGTTCCGTTGGACATTCCGAGCAAGTCTAATTGGTATTGTGTTTTGGGGCTGCTATCGATTATACAAATGGACATCTTTAAGTTTCACTTGAGAAAGTCAACTAATCTGGGGGAGAGAAAAAAATCCTTGTGACCATGGTGGACTGTGTTAATGTATGCATGAATACGAGTATGTATGTGTGTATATACATGTGCTATAGGTGTGCGTGTGTGTGTGTATGCATGTGTTGTTGTCGTCGTCGTCTCCAGCCTGTAACTGCCCTGTTGTCTGGACATCAACACTGCAACTGACCATGACAATTACACTCTGACTGCTACAGTCACTGACAGTTGGCAAAACTAACAAGCACACAAATTCCTCTCCCATCTTCCTATCCCATCCCCCTCCGGCCCAACTTCTAAATCAGAGCGGCTGCTAAAATCCTGATTAGACCCAATTTTGCCTTTTCTCATGGGTTTCAATCTTACTAATTACTTTGGTAATAACAGAAAAATTAATTCTTCTTCCAAAGCAGTGTCATATCTCAAGTTTCTATTGGCTAAAATAATTCACAGCTAAAAAATTATCAATCTGAATTTTTTAATCATTTTCTGGCTTCTTTCATTGACTTTATTTAAAAAAAAAAAAAAATAGTCATCCTAATTCAGTCATCAGCTTTCAAACAACCATAGTTGCACTCCTTTTTGAAAAGACAATCTTAACTCCAGGTTTATCAACGTTTGTTTCACCCATGTCTTTTCTGGGGTTTTTTTTTCTCTCTCTCTCTCTTTTTTTTATGTCATTATTTATCATTGTTGATCCCAAGAAAGCCAAACAAGGCTGGTAAGATTCAGTTAAAGCCAAGAAGGCTTTTATAATTATGATTCACTTTGCTTTTAAAGACTCTATTTTTCTTCTTTTTTTTTTTTTTTTTTTTTTTTTTTTTTTTTTTTTTTTTTTTTTTTTTTTTTTTTTTTTTTTAAACAATACATGAAGTTGCCATCTTCAGGCAAGTTTTCCTATGCCATCAATAGGTACTTAAGACTATTTTTTGTTTTAAATTTTTAACAGCTTTAATGTTTAACAAATATTTTACAAGAAAACAATTTTTTTTTTTTTTCCTCGGCCCATTATTACACTCTTAATTACTACAATATTTTAAAAGATCAATGAAGACTTCAGCCGTCTACTACAAAATCTTATAAAGTACATATTTATCAAATGATGGTAGATATACGATTCTTCTTTCCTTATCTAAGCAAGGAACTATATTCTTAATTCTTTGAATTTTTTTTTTTTTTTTTCTCAACAGTAAGATTTTTATTCATGAGCCAAGGCATCATTAAGTACAAATTCTGAACATTCAGGAATTGCATTTTTTTAGTAATTCTGGGAATAAATATTCTTTGACTAGACAGCGTTCTGTTGAGATAGTCTGTTTGTTCCAGGCTGTTTTAATTGAAATTTAAGTCTCTTACTAAATGCTGCTGGGTTTCTTAATCTTTGAACTTCTTTAAAAACAAAATAAACTTCCCTTTTTCTGTGGTGGGGGTCTCTTATTTTAAATCTTCAGAAATATTAGATAAGCAACATAACTTTCCATTTCCCTTCAAGCATTAACTCTTTAATTAATGTACAATTAATAAAAAAAAAAAAAACAAATTTATTGCCTCTTTCCTGGTGTTCTCTTCAACTTTTTTTTACTTTTTTTTGTTAAATGCTTCATTCTACCATGTGATAAATATGTCTATTTTTCCCTCATTCCACTCACAGGAAAAAAGGCTTACAGGCAACAGGTAAGTATTTCGGGTAAAATTTCTCTAACAACCATGCTTAAGGTTTTTTGTTTTTTTTTTTTTTCCTTCCTTGTGTATGAGTTCAAATTCTACATTATTTAATCAAGCAAGGCAATAATGCCACTAAGATGCAAGAGGCTACTGCAAGTAAAAGATGAAAAAGAAGTATCGTATATACTCGAGTATAGTGCGACATTTCATGATCAGCATGTTACACAAAAAATAGGAGGTTGCACTTATACACAGGTGATTTTATTTTTTTGAAGAAGTTAAAAAACATGCATTTTCAGTGACTGATTGCACTATATACAGGTAATTTTTTCTTGGTGGGGGGGGGTTAAAATTCAGTGGTCACACTATACATGAAGTTGGCTTATACACAAGTATATACGGTCACCAGAAACCTAATCCTAAACAGGATAAATCTGTACTCATGTTCAGAAGACCAGGAGGAGTGTTAACCAGACAATGGGCAAACATATCTAACCCTATTAAGGAAAAAAAATTTTAAAAATGCACCCTACCATTTGAAAATGTGAAACAAAGTAATGTTTGTCCCTTTTGCCATATTAGCAGGACTTCCTCACAAAAATCTTTGAAAATATTTTTTAAAAATTCCAAACATTCAAGCTGCTAGGTAATGATTATAAAATCCATTTTGAATATCCTAATTGAACATCATTAATATTTTATATCTAATCTCTTAGAGCATTGGAAAAACTTTCCCTTATAATGATTATTTGTAATATACTTTCTTCAACTGCTCCAAAATGAGTTGTCAGTAATGTTTTACAGGTTTCATTAAAAATTTCTGGTTTTTCAATATCGGAATCTTTCCACTAAGTAACCCAGCTTGTATTGATCAAGTAGAAGCTCTCAACATGGTGGTCACATGTTACAAATTCATCAGACATGCTTGTTTAGCTTTCTTTCTCCATTTTGAGACTTTCCCAGTCCATTTTGGGTTTTCTTTTTCATTTTTTCCCTCTCTCCATTTTGGGCTTTTTTCTTCCATTTTGGGCCTTTTTTATTTATTTTTCTTCCATTTTGGGCCTTTTTTATTTATTTTTTTCTTCCATTTTGGGCCTTTTTTATTTATTTTTTTCTTCCATTTTGGGCCTTTTTTTTTTTTTTTTTTTTTTTTTTCTCTCTCTCTCTCTTCTTTGGCTGCTTTATTTATGTTTCAGTCATTCTGCCATCAGCCAATGAAATTCTTCCACGCAAGTCTATTACACCATTGGGTTTATTTCTTATAGTTTCTTGAGGGGTTTAGAGTTATTCACCTTCCATAGTGTGGTACTATATTTCGAAGTTCAGCTAGTGGTTGATGTTTCTCCACACTGGCACATTTGTATTATTTTCTAAGAGCTCTTGGCGCCCTTCTCGGTTCCTTGGCCCTCTTAGCTCTACAATTGTTCTTGTAGAGCTTTGTCTGTTTCATCTCAATTCTCCCAAACCTTTCTGAGGCTATGATGGCAACTAGCAATCTCTTAGTTTTTAATTGCCTCTCTAGCAGTTGATTGATAATGACATCACAGAGATACACCAAAGTCCTGCTATTCTCCCTTGTTACATGTTGGGCCATTTAATTCACCTGTAGATTTCCATGTCTTCAGTTTGGGATTCAGTCACCAGAGAGAAACTGGGTTAGGTGATGCAATTCCTGGCCCTTCATCTACTTGAATTTTTATTGTTCCTGAAACATAACCACATTTCTTGTGTTGATTTAATTGAAACATCTTTAAGTTTTATTGATTTTGTTAATGATCTACTAATTTAGGAATGATGCTATTAATAAGATATTCCCAGAGTCATATAACAATGTCTGTTATTTGTATCAAATTTACATGTATTAAGATTCATCAATAAGGGGACAAAAATCCAGACACAAATATGTAAGTTGATAGGTCCTGGTCTGGCATCTAGTCTACAATCGCTATCCCTCAGATGTACTGTGGCCTCCCTCTGTCTCATCTACACATATTTTCATGGCAACTGTTCCAACGAGCTATTTTCGCTGGTTCCCAGACTGCACGAATTTAAACGAGCTACCAAGCTGGCATCTCGGTCCCAACCTTTCACTGTCAAAACAGTTAAATGTAACTCTCTTCTACTCAAACAGCTTCTTCTCCCACACTTTTTGTCTGTGGAACTCCCTTAGTTGCTTCCCCGATGATTATAATCAAGTGTAATGTCAGTTGACATTGGACACCCTTACCTTGTTCCCTGTCTTTCTCTGTATCCTTTCCTCAAACACTCCTCTTTGCTTTTGTTCTTAATTCTCTGTAACCCCTTGCATGCTAATGGCAATCATGCTTTGCTTGGGGTAAATTGCCTTAAAAAAATATCAAACCTTACAACAACCATAGTAATACCTGCAACCTTTGTAAACAAGAAAAGTTAACTATAATAACATTTCCAAACCCAAAACGACTTTTCAATGAGACATTGGAAATTATGACCCATTGCATACATACTAAAAAGTTCCTTTTGAGTTCATATGAACCGGGATGAAAAAGTATGTACATTTCATTTAACCCCCGACCGATAAATTGCTTGAGGTGAATTGCTTTATATATATATATATATATATATATATAAAAAATTACATATTTTTCCAAATGCACAAAAATTATTTCATAATTGTTACTTTCGAAGTTCAATTTTGTAAATGAACTCTAATATTAGGTTCACTTTTATATAAAAAAAATCTCCAGGTCATAAGATAATATTACAGAAAAATCAGGAAATATTTGTATGTCTGATTTTGTGTTTTCTGATCTTAATCAATGATCTCCCTGATGTCATCAGTTCCTAACTATTTAATAGTGTTTATGCAGATGATATAACCATGTACACCTGTCTTTGTCCGGTCTGTCCGACAGGCCACTAAGTAAACATGGCGACTGCTCTCATCAAGAATATCCAATCAGTGGTTAACTTTGGCAAGTAATGGCTTGTAAATTTTTATGTCTTCAAAACAAAACTGCTTTCATTTAATCACCACAGAGAACGTTTTCTGCCTGCCATCAGCATAGCTGATGCTAAACTCCAGAAGAGCAAGACTTTCAACCTTCTTGAGCTCACGTTTTCCACTGACATGAAGCGGAATAATTATATTGAATCAGTTGCTACATCTACTGCTAGGAAATTTGTTTCACTGTGTCGTGCCAGGAAATTTTTCTTATCTGAATCCACCTTGCACATTTATAAATCTATCATTCATCCATGCATTTGAATACTGCTGCCATATCTGGTCTGATGTTCCTGGTGTATATCTTGAGATTCTTGACAAAATTCAAAGAAGGGTCTGCATCACAACTTCAGTCACTTTCTCACTGTCTTGACATGGCTTCCCTCTGTCTTTTCTACAAATATTTTCATGGCAACTGTTCTGATGGGCTACTAGATTGGCAACTAGGTCTCTCCATTTTTACTATTGAACTAGCTAGATGCAGCTGCTACTTCTATTCCAACAGTTTCTTTTCTCGCACTTCTCACCTGTGGAATTCCCTTCTGATTTCTTGCTGCCCACAATTTTCAGTAATTTAAGTGCAACATCAATCTCTGGCTTCCTGAACCCTGTTCCTTTATCGTCCTTTCCTCACAAGTCTTCTCATTCTTGTTCACTCTCTGTAACCACCTGTGTCTTTGTGGCATTATCGCCTTGCTTGGGGTGAAATGGTTAAAAAAAAAAAAAAAGAAATTTAATTTTTGTGCACATGAAAACAAGAATATGTCTCAGTTCTCTGCAATCCATTTCTGCCCTGATCCTAACCTCCAGGGGAGAAACTTATTACACCTAAGTTTTGTGTTTACCACTGACATCCAGTGGAATGATTATATTGAATCAATTGCTAGGTCTGCTGCTGGGAAAGTTGGTTCACTGTGTCATAATAGACAATTTTTCTTGACATAATCCATCTTGCACATTTATAAATCTACCATTTGTCCATGCATTGAATATTGCTGCCATATCTAGTCTGGTGCTCCAACCATATCTCTTAAGATTCTTTGCAAAATCAAAAGGTTCTGTAATATTATCTGACCTTGCATCTTGTTTTTAGTCACTTTAAATATTGCCATGATGTGGCTTCCCTCTGTCTTTTCTATAAATATTTTTATGATTGCCCTGATGACCTTGCCTTCTTGGTATCTTGATTGCACGAATTTAAGTGTATTACTAGATTGGCTAATAGGTGCCATTGTTTTACTGTTGAAATACATAGATGCAACCATAAGTTCTATTCTAGTTGTTTTTCTCACCTGTGAAAATCTCTTCCAGCTTCTTGTTTCCCTTACACCTATGATCTTTCAAAATTTAAAAGCAACTTTAATTGCTATCTTCTGTCTTCTCGAATATTGTTCTTTTATTGTGCTTTCAGCTGACTAACTCAGTAACCCCTTGCATTTTAGTGACACTATCACCTTGATGGAGCGAAACAATCTTCAAAAATATCTGTCACCATTTTATGTATTAAAACCTGTTCTTTTATTGTCCCTTTCTCCTGACAAAAATCCTATTTTCTTTCACCCTCAGTAACCCCTTGCATTTTTGTGACGATTGCCTTACAAAAGAAAAAGCATTTTTAAATTTAAATTTTGTTATAATTTTTGTATCATGCAAGAAATATGGCAATTTTTTTTTCTAAATACATATTTTTTTATAAACAGATATTTCTATTCTAAATATTGCTTCAATCTTGAAAAAGTATATATATATAAAGAAAATATATGGAGAAACAAAAATCCGAATATACAAATATGCTGTTTTAATGTTATCTCAATGTTGACGTCAGACGTTTCGGTCTAGTAGACCTTCTTCAAGTCAACATGAAAAGACAATAGACATAAGAGTAAGACTAATCAAAACAGAATAACTGAAATTTTTAAGATCAGCATTCCATTTCACAATATGATCACGTGGGCGATGTTGTTTTGAATAGTCTTACTCTTATGTCTATTGTCTTTTTATGTTGACTTGAATAGCCTCTAATGTTAATTATGTTTTAATAACTATGTCTTGAAACATCTGACATCGACATTGAAATAACATTAAAACAGCATATTTGGATTTTTGTTTTTCCATATATTTTCTTTATACATACATACATACACATACACACATGCCTTTCTTATCTGTAACTGTTTAAAGAAAAGACATCTCTCTTATACTTTTTAATTATTTTTTCTTCCATTTGTCATCTTTAATTTCTAATCTTCACTATAAGGGTCTCCTTCAGTCATAGTCATTTAACTTGATTGAATATTTCAATTGTCCTTCTATATGCTGTGTCCCTTCAGGGTGTAGGTAATCATGGCTCTCCACAATTTCCCTTCCACTCTGTTTTTGAACTACAACAATCTTGTCATTTTCCTGTGGTACACAGCTTTATTTTTATAAAAATGCATTCAAGAAATGATCATGGGAAATTTGTTGTTTAAAAACAGTAATTTGACTTTGTTAACCAGACACTTCCAGCATGTCAAGATATTCTTGGACATTCAGGATGGTAAATGTAATTAATGCTAATTAAGAACATTTACTTAAATAATTGTATCTATAAAAATAATGTATAAACAGGAAATATATTAAAATAATTGTTGTACTAAGTCCATTTCATTTGATATAATTATATAAAATATAATTATTATTATTTAGGATATTAAAACAAAAATGTTAAAAATCACTACACAATAACAATCATGTTTCAATGCCACAAATGTCTCTTAAGGCGAAAGATTAATTTCAAAATCAGAATACTTTTTAAAAAAAATAGGCTTGTGGGCTTTGTCATAATTAACCAATCAGATGTGACTTACACTAAATTCAAACCCACTGGAAAAAATATTTTAATATAGGTCATGACATGATGTCTGCATATAAATCCTAGACAGTTTCATTATAGACAGATACAAGTTGTTACATTATTTCAGAAAATCAAATTCTTACGTTCAACTTTCCAAATAAATAAAAGCTAAAAGGGTAGGGTGGTAATCTAACCATTCAGCTTCTTACATAAAATTTTATAGTTGATAAATAAAAGGTTCCTTTAAGAAACTGATAAATAAATTAATCATTTGGGGGAAAGAAAAAAAAAACATACAATCCAGGACTACTTTGGCAAATTACTATGCAACTTTTAAATAAAGAGCATCTATATAAGATGTTAAAGATACCAACTTATTGGTATTGTTAACGTTAAATCTTGCCATCGAACTGCAGCCAGACAACTTAAATACTGATACAAATGGT